CTACAACAAGGTTGGAAGCTGCTCTGCTGTCATTGGCTTTCTTCCTTCCTGTTATCCAAGACATCACAGGCTCTTTTCATTTTCTTCCTTTTTTTTTTTTTCCCTCCCCTTCAGTGTGTTAGTTTAAACTAAGTGATGGTAATGACTACCAAGTGAAACCCCTCAAATAACAACAATAATAAAAAAGTATGCCAAGTATACCCAGAGAGAGAAACTGAGTGCCCATTAGTAAAGTTAGAGAGGGGCATTAATAAAAGGAAGATTTGTTAAACATGACTCATTTATTTTCCTTCCTTTCATAAATCTTATTATTTCCTTGGAGAACCGCCACGCACTCAGTGGCTGGAACTGCATTCTTAAATGATGCTCTTGGTTTAACTGCTACCTGCCTTTATTTACTGAAACATCAAATACACAGGCCCTAAAACCCCCTAAGCTCAGAAAACAACCCCACCTCCCAATATCAGGAGCATTCTAATCCTCTAAACCTGTACAGAGGCTGTAGGTGTGCAAGACCCACACTGCAGCTCTTCTCCACAAAGATCACAGACCCATCTTTACTTTTCCAATCCCAGCCACACTCAGAAAGAAATGGAAAGATGCTGAACTGGAATACTGCCGAAAAGGCAGCAAAAACAACATCAGTCAAAGATTTCCTTTCTGCCTCTGCAAACATTGTTTTTGATCCTATACAGTACAAATGATTCAAGCTCTGTACAAATGAGTCAATGATAAAATTACCACATGATTTTTTTTTTCCCCCTGTCAAAAAAAGCTTTCTTCCCAGCTACAAAGGCAAAAAGCAGCAACATTACATAAAACCAATAGTTACTGCTATATGAAACACAGAGTACAGGGAGACTTTAAAATCACTGATGTGCTGCTGGAATGGAGACATATTTTTTTGTGTTTGCCAATATTCTGCAGAGTTGAACACCATTTGGCCTGTATTACAAAAGAGATCTGCCCTCTTTTTTAACTAAACTTTTTTGACCTTTTCTTCCTTAAGTGCCTAAATAGAGTAATACTATTTTGAAGATTACCTTACATTGATACAGGGGCTATCCAAATATTGGCTTATGATGTTTTCCTTCCGTTATTTTGGGGAATAAAACCTTGACCTTCCTGAAAGCACTGATTATGAATTTCCTCAGCTACATAAATCAAGACTAACACAACTGAAGCCAACATGACAGGGAAATCAGTCTTCTGGGCTGGACCATCACTTTGCAACACAGAAGGTCAGGTCTGTAGCAATGGTGACCTACCTAAGCTTGACAATCTGACCCAGCACAAGAGAAAATACTTGTTATGTACTGTGTGGTAACCCATAAACAGCAGCCTAACCCAAAAAAAATGTTGTTTTTTTTTTCAATCCCACCTTGCATTCCTTTAAAAAACTCCTCAAAATGGGACCACACGAAGAAGCCCCTCACTAGGGCCCCTCACTTACTTTCCATATGGAAATACGGAACCATTTTCAACCAGTCACAAGCCCACGAGGAACAAACTGTCCTGTTAAAAATACTCCTGTACCTTTTAGGTATGCAGATTGCCAGGCTGAATTTTAAATGCAATCACTTTGCTCCCAGTACACTCTGAAAATCAGAAGTCCCAGTCAGCAGGAATCAGTCCTCTGCACCCAGGCCCTGCTATTTCCATCAGTTTAAGCCTCTGTGCTGCAATTATGTGAATTGTCCACTTTCCTCCTCCAGCCTCCTCCATGAAATGCATATGTAACATAAAACCCATTTATCACACTGGAAATTGCTGTTGTATTTAAGCTCCCCAAAGACAGCAAAATCAAATTATGATGTGTAACGAATGATAATCTGTCAAACTCAAGGGAATACTCCCAATTTATCCCTCCGTGTCTGGAACAGAACAGGTCAAAGGGGTCTAACGTAGAATACATGGGTGTGAAGACGTGATATGAACACACACAAAGAGGAGATGAAAACACTCTTAATCTTTGCAGATTGGATGAAATCTAATTACATGTTGTATTGATTGTTGTGTATTACTGGAAAGAGACACTGAAAAGGAAAAAAGGCAATTAGAGTGAAATTGTAGCCTGACCCCTCAATTGCTTTTGGCATGAAAGGTTATGCTCTACTTGGGGCATCAGAAATTCTTTACCCTCTATGGCAAATCATTAGCAACAGACTTAGTTGCAAAAGGGATTAGGGGAAAAATGCAGTCCATGAAATCATTTTCAATTTTTCCCCTTTACTAAAAAAAAAAAAAAAGGGAAAGGAAAAAAATTCCAAGGTGTTATCATTGTGCCATTTCATGAATTGCTACTAAGTCTAGCTGGCATTAGTTCTGTGCTCAATGACAATAAAACATATTCATCAATAGAAATACCATAGTAAAAATGAAAAATAATACATATATAGATGAACTAGATCTATAACAACTCGGTTTTTCAAAATAAATGTTGTACCCAAGGTCAAACGTCAAGAGGTAATATCGAGTCTCACCGGGGAAATTCCACAGCCACGTTTCATTGCTTTCCTTTCCCTTTTCATGCTCCATTCATTTACTTCCACCAAAGCCAGCAGCAGCTGAGCAAAAAGGAAAGCTTTTCAGAAATACTATTTTTCCGAGTTGATAAAAAAAAAACCGGAGCACGAGCCAAAGGAAAACCATTGTTTGGGTGTACGTCTGCACAACTCTGCAGGGAATCATGGCAATTCTCACTCATCCTCTTCGAAAAACTCTTGTTCTGCCAAAGCATAATTGCAAGGACCAGCTTTCTCCTGACTTTCATGTGGGATCCTCTGCGTTCTACATGCTCCTCCACAGGCACTGCACTCACGGGTTTTATTCAGGCTGAGAAGTTAATGAGTTCTCAAGTGATTGGTTTGGGTTGCCTTTTTATACATTTGTAACGTGACTGCTCGTGATTATTTTCCCTGCAGAAGGTAAACTTCTAAACAACATTTCTCTGACTGTGTGCAAACAAATCTGTGTGACAAACAAAATCCTGTGCAGCTGCAGCTGCAGGGTTGGGTCTCTCACAGAGTGGCTTTCTATTCACCGGTAAGGTGGAGACCAGGTAAGGTCTGACCGGTTTAGGACTCATCTGAAGAGAAAAATGAAGCAACTCTTGATGACTTCAGTGCAGCACTTCCTAATTTCTTAGGACTTTTTGGTATGATTATGAAGTAGCTTATCTATGTTCATGTACCACTGTGTCATAATAAAAAACCCCAACAACTATGTCAGAGAGGAAGGGAAGGGAAATGAATAGGAAATCTGAACAACTCAGCTTCAAAAACTTTCTGTATTTTCGTATGCAAGAACTTCCAGGAAGAAAAAACTGCCTGCAGTGTTTATTATGACCTGAAGAAGCAACATAACATCAGTTCAAGTGATTTCACTATGAACTTCCATATCCAACAAACCAAATTAAAGCAGAAGAAAGAAAAAGTTGCCAAAATAGGGGCACACTTTACAGAGAGCTTCCCATTTGCTGTGAAGCCCCAGCCATCACATGCAGTGGTGCCTGCTTGGTACGTTAAAGGACTCCTGCTGATGCTCCAGGGGATGCTGTGCTGGGATGAACCCCACACAGGGAAATCCTACCCAAAGTCTCACCCACGAACAACACCAAGAACAAATCAATTTGAGGCAAAAAAGCCCCGCTCAGCTGAGCTACAATGAATTAGATCGAGAACCTCGTGGCTTTCTGGAATATGTGAGAAGGATTTTCCTCTTAAATCCTACATTCTTCAAAACTGCTCCAAAACACGGTCAGGAAACACAGCTGTTGACACTTCCCTGTAATTCCTGAGTGTGTGTTTTTGTGACTAACACCCACACTCCACGTTCCCCTTCTCTTCCCTGTCTATACAGATGAGAGCGTAAGGGGATGCCTGTTCTCTAACACTTGCTGGCACAAACTGCAAATTACCATAACAGCCTAACTTACTTAGATTTATACATTCATTCAGAAAGTAGTAATAGGGAACATACTTTATCCTAACCCTCCTATTTGTCTGCATTTTGAGACGACAGCAGCCTTTGTTAAATCAATGTTATGAGTAGGATTTCCACAAGCAGCCTAGAAGCACATTTGCTATACTTAAACATATTTACACTGAAATTTTTATTTGGTGCTAGACACTAAATATTACATTTATTTCATCATTTTAGGAAAAACTTCACAGCTTCTTCTTGTCCAAAAAACTCATGTATTTAATCACATACTTATTTCCGTGATGTCTCACACTTAGAACTTTACAAAACTATCCAAATACAAATGTATTCATTTCAAAGAATTAGCTTCTATATGACATGTTAGCTGTCCTATCACAACTTTGATGGCTTAGCTCATTCTAGCTACCATGGAAGGGTTCTTTGCTTACCTACCAATATTTTTCAATGTTGGTGAATTCGAATGGTATGTCATAAAAAGAACTGGTGGATGCTTCTCCTCCTCATCAGTTACAATAACAAATGCAAATAGCAAAATCATTAAGGAAACATAGGGGTGCTATGTTTAAACAGACCATGAAAAGCACACAGCGTGAGAACTCAGCAGAATGTTTTAAAGTAGTTCTGCAACCAAGTATATGATTTTCAGCTATAGCCTAACAGCATATTTGCTCTTCAAACAACTTCCTATGCAGACTTAATATGCCCAAGCAAACTGTAAAACCTGGGAGGTTCCTAGTGGGGACTTCTCCCAGACCCAAAACTCGCGAACTCTGCGAGCTCCCTTAACTTTGCATCTATCGAGGCAGTCCTGACTCCGGACCGAGAGCTGGGGGAGAGGCAGGGTGGTGGTGGGAGGCTCACCGAGCCCCTCCAGCAGAACCCTGCAGGCACCTCTTTCCCCGGTATTTCAGCGCTCCAGCGGCGCGGTCAGTGCCGGGTCCCCTCCCCATGGTGGGGGACACTGCGGGCGCTCCCCCCAGCCCGGGGCACCCTCCCGGGGCACCCGGGCACTGCGGGGCCGGCGCCGCGCCCCCCTCCCAGCCCAACCCCCGTACCATTGAGCTGGTTGTAGACCACCTCCTCCAGGTGGTCCAGGCGCTGCAGGATGGACTCCCTGTCGGCCAGGCTGCCAACCTTGGCGCCGCGGCTCCTGGCCCGGCGGTCCGCGCTCCGGACGATCTGCACCAGCTCCTGGGAGCGGTCCTGGATCCTGCAGTAGACGGAGAAGAGGATGATGCCCACGAAGACCAAGATGTTCACCGTCAACAAAGTTTTGATTTTCCGTGCCACCGCCATGGGAGCCGCCGGCGCGGTGGCCGGGGGCGCATCCAGGCGCGGCGCCCGGCGGCCCCCGAGGCCACCCGGCTTAGCGGGGAGGGGGAAGGGGGGCGCGCCCGGGGCTCGGAGCGGAGCCGGGTGGGGGGGGGAGCGGAGCGAAGGCGAGAGGAGATGAGATGAGATGAGATGAGCGGAGCTGTCCTTCAGCACCGCCGCGCCGCTCCCCGCCCGGTGCCCGCCGTCGCCCCGCGGGGGCCGCGCCGCGGGCAGGGCGGCATGGAGAGAGAGGGGAGCGGCGGGGGCCGAGCCCGCCCAGCCGGCCGCGCTCGCTGCCGCCCCGAACGCCGAGCGCCGTGCGCAGTGACGTGCTCGGGGATCTCATCCACCAGCAGGCACACGGAGCGGAGGAGCCGCCGCCCCGCCTCGCCTCGCCTCGCCCGCGGCTCCCGCCCCGCGCCCCGGCACGGCCCTGCACGGCGGAGCGGGGGATGCTCCTCTCCCCCCACCCCCCTCCTCCACCCAGGGAACACGGCAAGGGACACACCTTCGCTGCGATGCCCAAAACGTTTCACCTTGTGCTGCCCGAGCGCCGCCAGGGGCAGCTCCTGAGCGCGGGCAGGGTGTCCTTGTCCCTGCTGCAGCCCCGCAGGTGAGGGGGATGATGCCACCACGCCCGTCTCAGCGCTGGGAAGGAGCGGAAAACAGCGCGAGGGAGAGCCGGTGGCTCGCTCAGCTCCATGGACTGCCCGGCAGCCAAAGCACAGCACCGGCTTGGGATCCTGCCTGGAGGTGGCATGGGCTGGGGCCACGTCCACGTGCAAGAGGGGTCCTGCCAAGCATACACAGAAATACAGAATCACAGAATAGTTTGGGGTGGGAAGGGACCTTTAAAGGCCCATTCACCAGTCCAACCACCCTGCAACTAGATCAGGTTGCTCAGAGTCCTTCCCCAGCTGACCTCTAGTGTTTCCAGGGATGGGGCATCTACCACCTCTCTGGGCAAGCTGAGACAGTATTTTACCACCCTCACTGTAAAAATTTTCTTCTTTATATCTAGTTTAAATTGATCATCTCTTAGTTTAAAACCATTAACTGTCTAAGCATGATGCCAATGGACATTAAATAACCCCTTTCAACATCTTCTCCATTCATGTTCCCAATGATCCTCCTTTTATACAAAGAAACATACCCATCTCACATCCTGGTTCTGGGAATTTTTCCCCTTCCATCCTTCCTTCTTGATTTCAGGAGCTGCCAACTCAAAATTCAGCAAAAGTTACAACCTCTGTGAATTCACTCGAACTTGGCAAGGCCAACTCAGGGTTTCCTGAGGTATAAAATCTCCCACTGCTGGTCCTACTTCTGACCCTCCTGCTGTTCACCTTCTGCAAGGTCCCCGAGGGCAGATTCTTTGAGAAGATGTGTTTCTGTCTCAGAGAAAATCTCCCCTTGTCTTTTGGGCATGACCAATGAAACCTGTGTTGGAGAGATCCAGCAGTCCAGAACAAGCCTAGACTGCAGTTTCACCATCATCTAATCTTATCCCTGGAAAAAAAGATGCCACGGGTTTTCTGCAGCGTCATGTCTTGCAAATAGGTACAAGATTTAGTTATTTCCTACAGTACTGGATTTTTAAACACAAATAATGCCCAAATGCATTGGGTCAAATCTTTCACTCAAGTTGTAGTAAAACTATCTAGAAGTCAGCTCAGCAGAAGCAGCTCAGAACCTGCATTTTTCCAGTGCTTTATAAGAAGTATTTATAAGAATACTACTTATTTCAGTAGTATTCTTATTGCAAGTCTCTCCCAACCTTACGTTTTCCTAGCCAATAACAAGTTGGTTTAAGAAAACATATTGAATTAATGCTCAAGTGCAGCTTATTAGGTGCCTCCACAGCATTTAATATATTATAGCAACACCTGCTGGTCTTGATATGGTTAAGAATCTGTTACATCCCTGTTTCCATTAGAAACTCCAAGTTCACGAGCTGGCCACAAGAATTCAGTTTGGATTCTGACAGGAGCTTATACTTTGTCCCAAGAGTTGTAAAACACCTTCAGCTCTCTCAGAGAGTTTACCAAGTTTTGAGGAGGACTTTTTTTTGCACCACTGCAGTTTTAAATGGCCTCTCTCAGAAACATGATTTCACCCATGATTGGCTTAGCAAAAGGAAACAACCGTTTGACCTAAGTAAATGTTTTTAAGTGGTCAGCTTGAAATAGTCTATGATGTGTACAGAAGAACATGAGAATATGCTTACACAGCTGAAACCTCACCTAACACCACTCAAATATTAGCTATTAGATCACTGCTCCTCCAGAGATCTCAAAGCAAGTTACAAAAGATAAACGAGAGCTGGCTGAAGGACAGCAGTAGTGATTTCAGGGAAAATGTCAGGATCAAAAAATGTCTTTTCTTTTTTCCTCGGAACAAAACAAAACAACCCCATTTGAAATATTTTCACACCAGCAGCACTGAGCTGAAGTCATTGTTTCCTGCCCAAAAGGGTCATGTTCCAATTTTTCTTCGCACAGGAAGGTGTGGATTGCCAAAAGAAAGCGAGATCGAAATCAGTATATGCAACAGCTGGACTTTGGTGTCAATACTTTAGCTGAAACCAGATGAATCAGCTCCAGCCTACAAATGGGGACCATGGGAAGGCACTGGTGGCTTGCTTCCCAATCAGTGGAACAAGCCAGAGGCAATGTCAGGATCCCATTCCAAACCACAAATCCAGTGTGTCTCTCTCACTATTACCTTCTCTCACTGATTTTCACTCCCACTCATCTCCACGGGTCTCCTGTTTCCACTCACATTGTCCAGGGTGGACGAGGAAGATGCTGTAACGACACACCAAGACACTGTGCAGTCAAATGACAGTCTGGAGGTGATCACACTATTTACATGTCTCTGCTACCAACTGTGCTCAGCCCAAATGAACACCTGGATGGAGGACAGCTGGCTGAAGATGAAGGTGATGCTGAGCAGCCAGAGGCAAAGACACTCAAAACCCAGTCAGCTCTCTGAAACAGCCATCTGTCACAGGCATCTCCCCTAATGGAGCAAAGATGGTTCACTGCCCTGGGGCAAATCTGGACTGCTGCTGGGCTGTCACATAGCTGAGGCTGTGCTGATAACTGCAGCATGGAAAAACAAACCTCGCTCTTGTCTCTGGCTCTCCTTGAAGCTGTGCTTGGTCTTGAACAATGTTGATCCTACAGTAGTTATGTTTGCTTGTGTTGACTTTTGGTTACTGCAGAGGGCCCCACCTTGGCACAAAGATGTTGTCAGAGAGGAAAACTTCAGCTGCTTCTGCATTTAAAATCCTGCTCTGCTTTAGCTACTGAGGTCAGAGACAGTACATTTCACTTAAAGCAACACAGAACTAAAATACTTTGGAAAGAACTCTCTGAAAGTGTCCATCATCTCACAGCTCTGATCTGCAGAGCCCATCATGCAACTACTCAAGGCAAGGGACTCCAAGTCAATCTGAAGTTCATCTGGAGCTACCAACCTCAACCAGTACAGAGGGACTACCTGCGTTCTTTTTAGCCAGCTAGTGAAAACTGTAAATTGTGTGGCAACTGAATATGACCAGGATACCCGTCACCATCACCTGGACAGTTCCAAGTTCAAGTTTTCCCAAAAAGTGGTCAGAAGAACTGATTAAAGAAGAACATGTCAGACCTACAAAATGCCATCCCTACACAGAGCCCTTGGAGGCTCCATGCCTTCTGCTGTACAGCCCCAGGTATGGTGGCTACATAACCACATAATCAATTTGAGTTTCAATTTTCTGTGAGCTGTTTTCTGTTGAATTTCATTTTAATGTCCCTAGGAGGAGATGAAGGAATCGGCTGATGAAACAAAATAAGTAAGATTTTACTTCTGAGGAAAGGCAAGAAGAAAGTGATTGAAAAGTTTCTTGAAAGTTTTTTGAATTTAAAAAAGCTTAGGATGGGAAAAAAATGTTGAATTCAAATTAATAACCACAAAACCGTTCCCAACCACTTTTCCAAAAGGACACAAGACTGATTTACCATATCTAAAGAGACATACCTCTCTGATCATTCTCCTGCATGATATGAGACATTTGCAAGAATGAATAATGCGTAGAAGGGAAGGCTTTGATGTTTAAAGTATTTGAACACTAGCTTGAAAGAAAGAAAAAGAGACACGGCAGACAAAATATTATGCCAGTGATGATCTGCAATTGCAGATTCCAGCTGTAGTTATTCACACACACTGACATCACCTACCCCCATTTCATTTTCCTAATGAAATCCCAACCGCATTTGCTAGCACACTGCTTAGAGTCTTAACAGAGCCTAATATTTTCCTACTTTATTTTCTGTTTTTTCTACTCGCTTAGAAGGAAACAGCAACAAAAGCAGCCAGCCAAGTCTCAGCTGTCTGGTGAATCCCCAGGCACACAGAGCTGAGGCCCTCATCCTGCTGCAAGGAGGAACTGCAGCCCCTTGAACTCTCGTGCAGTTTGGAGTTTGAGCAGCCCCTTCTCACCACGGTGCCAGCAGAACACATATTTCAGAAATAATATATGTATACTATACATATATATCCTTTTAATTTTGGCAGTATTAGTCACTTATTAAGATTAAACAGAAGTTTCATAAGTGGAATTTTGTGATGCTTCCTTCTAACAGCGCAGCAATTCCCACTTGCACGTGGGAATTCATGCAAGTTCTTCAAATGCCCAGACCACACTGTGTCCTGGCACTTGTGGCTGTGACACAAACATGCACTCCTGATATACTCTTCCTGTTGTATTAAAGCCACAGGTTGACCCTGCAGAGAAGATTTATAATAGCACGATTACTGGCAGATCTGCTGCTTTCATGCCTGTGAAATTGTGCTGATGACCACCTAGCAGTAAATAGCGTACAGATAAAACTCAACAATTATCCAAACACGCATTAAAAACCCCAATAAACCTGTCACTGTAAAAACAGAATATGAATAAGTGCCAAGACTAAAATATTCAACCCACATGCTTACATTTTACAAGCCCTAATTTATAAACATTACAGCTCTCACCAATTTTAATAAGTTGAGCTCC